CTGGGAAGTCCAACCCAGATCAGGTCAACTTTGCATTCCCAGTAGGTAGTTCTCTGAAGGCCAGATAATCAGGACTCTAGGTAGAAGTCGTTTCGATTTTGGATAAAACTCAAACGGGGGAGGCGGGGAGGCAATCGCTCGTGTGATATTTCATCACTGTACTGATGAGTATAAGACAACAAGAAGGTCAGCGTGTCTGGGTATCAAGTCCGCATGGTATCGTTGAGGATAACCTGTCAAAGGAGAGCTCTAGGCAGGATCTCTATTACCTCTCAATCAAGGTAAGTAGTATAGTAGTAGTAGTAGTAGTAGGAAGATTCTGCTTAGGCTTAGCTCTGCTGAAATTTGGACCTTAGCTGGACCTGAATCCTGCGGAAGAGACCGAGGCCTTAACTTCGGAATAGTGCTCAGGTTTTGCTCCATCTCCTTTCAGTAGAAATAGGTACGAAGGAGGCATTGTAGGCCTACACTAGTTTCTTCACTCTCCAGTTAGAGGCAACTTGGTGTGATGCTCTTGCTTGGGAAGGAATCTGGCGTGCAAACTCATATCGGTCGCTACATCATATTGACTATTGATTGAAATTGATTCCAAAGCTCTAAAAACAACCGTTGATAACCACTGACTTTCGAAGAACAGTCTGCGGCACACTGAAGCCGGCGGTTCGGCCAGGTGTTGGACTCTTCAGTGCAGATCCTGGTGGGCCGCTGGATCGTGGAGAAAGTGCCTGATCTTCCTTGGCTTCGTTCTGAAATATTCTCGAATTGAGACTGAGTACAAGCCCGATTAAAGCTGTGAATCATTCAAGATAAGCTGTGGAATCTGTGCTGTCAATTCACTATCTCATCTGAGGCTTAGAATAACTATGTAATTTATTACAGTGCGAGATATCTTGAGATTTCCCTTGCCTTCGAGCTATCCCTCGAAGCGATAAACGATTGCAGCGGTTTAGCGCACAGCTCGTAGTAGTTACATTATTACAGCAGTTTCGAGATGTGCGGCTCAACGATGGGTGAAGTTTAAAGCGCCGAGCGGCGTGGTCCGCCGACGCGACGACGACAAAACGGCAGCCCCCGCTGCTGCCTGCTGTTGCTGCTACTTGCGGCCATGGAACTATCACACTTTTAATGATTCACGAAAAGAATAATGAAGTATAGAAGCCGTACTGGCCCAATGATGTACCAGAATTTGAGCACTGGAAGAAAGGATTCGACAAAGGTTCCAAAAGATATAGGTACGAGATACGGTGGAACACAAGAGGTGAGGAGAGAGTAAGTGGGTAACAATCGCAGGTTGGAATGAGTCAACGACTCGCTGAGGCGACTTTTAGCCGCCTCGATCAAGTATGAAAGCCTCAATGAGAGGCAGTGATACTGCAAACCTCTACGCCGGTAGGATTGAGATGGTCTATGGGCCCGAAGCAATTCATACGACAATTCATTTAGGGAACCCACAACGTAATCCCGACACCACACCCTTAATACTACCCCGGATAAGCTCTGAGAAGATATTTCCAGGGGAAAAAGGTTGTTACAGTGCAGGGTACACCCAATCCCAGCACATGAAGAATCTACGCCAAGGAAAGAAGTCAGCTGTGAGGTAAAATGAATACGATGAAAGCAAACTTTAATACCCGAAGATGGCACTCAGTAAAACCACTTCGAAGGTAAGTGGGAGAACGATTAATTGTGCCTTTTGATCGATTTTCCTGGGTCAAGCGTTATAATTCCAACAAGAGCAAGAAGTATCAAAAGGAAACCACAGGGGAATCCTGGTAACCCACTACTGCCAAGGTACTGGAAACTAATCCCGTCAAGCAATATTGAGTGAAACAGCTTGAACAAGAGCGAGTAAATGCTGATCATATTCAAAAGTAACAACCAACAAGGGTAAAATTTACCTGCTCAGGAACGTCATTTTCGTCTTGCTCCTCTCCCTCCATATGCTCGTCCTCAACGTCCGACATGAATGGTTAGGTTGATAAGTGATATAGGATGGTGTTGATTGGTAATTAGTGGTTGAGAGGAAGCTCTCGGGATCGGTGTGAGATGTAGGAAGCCGGAGCTGAGGATAAGAGGCGTGGCTATAGGCGTAACACTTACGGGTGGGACTGAAACAGCCAACCAATCGACGTTGGCTCGCCCACGCTACCCATTCTTAAAACTGAACATATTTCTGATATTGATCGCATTATACGGTAGTCCGGTGGAGAGAGTTTGGGAGAGAGCATGACTGCTTGAATCGCCTGTGTGAAAGGTTTGACTGGACGTGGGAGCAAAAGGATGGTGGCAGGGATACATACAGCACGACCTACGTCTGAAAATTTCACTGATTTCACTTCGCAGCGACGTATTTGGGCAGCTGATTTCCAGGTCCTTTGATCGTTTCTCGTGCAAAAATCAATAAATCAATAAATGCTGAACTGATTGTGACGGTACTCTGAGGAAGGCCGAACCTCATACTCACTTCCCCTACAAGATATACTTCTGAAGACTCAACAAAACTTTTTTTGAGTTGGTACTGTGTGAGCTACCTAGAAGAACTTCTTCGGGAACTAGCTAACCATCTAGATGGATCAAAGGCTTATACAGTTGGTCAGCTAACAGAACTCAGGCGATATGCGAGCAAGCCTGTATTCATAACAAACCCGGAGAAGTTTATAAGTCAAGGACCAATTTTTCCAGTGTTGATTCAACTCCGTTTCAACCCCAGCACTAAACTTTCATTCGGAATTCCAGATGCATTTGAATGCTCATGTTACCTATACAATGATTTGCGGTGGCCAGCCAATCCACAAGTCAGCGTTTTTGTCTTCCCACATGAGTCTGGCACCAATTAACTGACCGCGGAGTGAGGGAGGCCTTGATCGGCTTAGGCGACTATCAAGCAGGGGTTCCGCAGTGCACCACATTACACTCTTCACCAACTCTTCCT